TTTTTTAATTTTTTTTTTTTTTTTTTTTTTTTTTTTTTAATTACTTCTTTTTTATCCTTCGTTATTGATAAAATTTTATCTTTTTTCTTAACTGAAAAATCTATACTTTCTTCATTATTTTTACAATTATTTTTACAATTATTGTTATTGTTATTGTTATTGTTATTGTTATCAGATTTATAATTATCAAAATTATTGTTTGATAATTTACTTTCATTACTTAAAATATATGTATCTCCTTTTTTCTTTTTCTTTTTCTTTTTTAAATTTTTATTTGTTTTTGACTTATTTTCTTTTTGTAATTTTTCTAATAACATTTCATTAATAAAAAATATAAACACCATTTTATTTTTATCTTTATTCTTTTTGTTTTGTTCTTCTTTCATAATTCCTGCACCAAGATATATATAATTTTTATTTTCTAAATCATCTTTATTTTCATTTTTGAAATAAAACTTTAAAACATCTTTTATAATTAAATCATGATAGATTAACCCACCATATGGAAATATATCATAAGAATTATATTTACATTCTTTTTCTTCATATTTATTTTCTGTTGTTTTCAAAATTACACTTTTACTAATTTTAGGTTTCCTATATAGATGTAATAAATTTTCATTATGATATTCATCATGGCATATTTCATCACAACCATTTATATTATCATTAATAATGATATCCATTATTTCCTTTTTATTTCTTTTTATAATTATTACTATTGTAATTTTTTACTTTATAAACTTTTTTTTTTTTATTTTTTTTTTTCATGTCTAACTTATTTATTTTTCTTAATACCACATATATGTTAATATTATGTTCTTTCAATTAACTATTTTAATTTACTTTTTTTTTTTTTTTTTTTTTTTTTTTTTTTTTTTTTTTTTTTTTTTTTTTTTTTTTTTTTTTTTTTTTTTTTTTTTTTTTTTTTTTTTTTTTTTTTTTTTTTTTTTTTTTTTTTTTTTTTAATATATATATATATAACTTTATTTAAATATTAACTATATTTTATATGATAATTTTTATTTTTATTATATATGTTATTTTTATGTAAAACCTTCAGCAATATTTTGTTTATTTCATTTTGCTCATATGGCTATATGTTATTTTGTTAATTGAATACTTTTCTTTTATAAATTAGATATTTTAACTATGATAAATATAAAAAAATAAGAAAGTATTATAATAAAAATAAACAATAAAAAAAAAATTGGTTATGATCAATATAAAAAAAAAAAAAAAAAAAAAAAAGTTGATGTAGATATATTTCTTATATTTAAATTGACACAAATTTTTATTATAATTCTCAAAAATAGTTTATATTTAATAAAACTTTTATAAAAACTATTATATTTCTTAATATTTTCAAATAAATAATAAAAATACTAATAAAATGAATGTTTCATATATATATATATAATTAAAGAATTTAAACAAAATTTCAAAAAAAATTAATTTATTGATGGTTTTTTTCTTTACTTTTTAATTAAAAATATGATTCAATATTTTTTTGAAATTAAAATTATATTTTTATCATTAATGAATACCAAAAAAAAATCTATATAATTTTGTGTGTTTTAAAAAAATAATATATATATATATGTATATATATATATATATATATTTTGCTTTCATTTCCATTTAAATGGAAGATAAAATTATATTTATATCAAAATGTGTTTTATTTTATTATTCATTTTTTTTAAAAATATAATTTAAACTATATTTTTCTTGTTTAATAAATTTCTAATTTTTTTTTTTTTTTTTAAATTATATTTAAAATAAATTTTTAATATTATTAAAATAAGTTTTTCATATTATTAAAATAAGTTTTTCTCTCAGAATTTCCTTTAGATTCTGAGGTAAACATATTAAAAACAAAAAAAATAACTATGAAAAATTATTTAGATAAATTTTTTTT